TTAAATTTTTTAAAAATTTTTTTTTTTTTTTTTGTTTCAATAATTTTTTTTTTTTTTTTTTTTTTTTTTTTTTTTGTGCCAATAATTACAAGCCTGTAATTTCTACCATATGTATTTTAGTTTGAATAATTGACATATTTAATTTATCATTTACAAGAGATATACATGTTAATAACTAGTACCCATTTTCTGTGCAAGGTTTTTGTTGCAATCCCCTTTTTCCTGTCTTCTCAGGTTCTGGAACTGCTGTATTACTTACTGCTCTTTCATTGCATTGGAATCAAGAAAAGATTTTTCATCAGAAAATTCAGAGTGGAATGGTGATAGCATGGGGTCTCAGGTACTGGTAATTGTGCTTTTTTGGTACAGATTAAATGTTTGTTGTGTGCTTCTAACGTATTAAAGTCATAAAAACTCTTCGTTTTGGCCAAAAATTGGATTTTCCTGGAGTAAACGGCAATTTTCCCGTACTTACCAATGGTCAACGACCCCATTCCTGCATTCAAAGTTAGTTCAGGGTTTTTTTCCTAAATGCTTGGTTTTTTGTTAAAATCTCTTAAGAGATTTTAACTGACGGAGCCCTCTCTGACATTGCATAAGTCATGCGATATCAAGCGGGGTTTTCTGATGACCTACTTAAAACCGCGGGAAAAGCAGACAACAACAACACTTTATTACAATAAAATAAGATTCATACGATATAATCGTCTTATTGCTCAGAATGCATTTATATCTACAACATGTGCAGTTCTGGGCTTTTCGTTATCCGACACACTACAAAAACTCGCAACTTACGTCTGAGGATTGTGTCATGCGCCTGCTATATCTTATCCCGCCACATGTTATTTTCGTCTCGAATGCACGCGAGAGTCCGCGTGATGCGTCAACATCCTTGGCAACGGATGCCTTGACGACCGGGAAGAAAGGCACCGAAAGCCCTATTGACAAGTACAGTTTTTAGTTTTACTACAATAACACAATAACAGTTTTAGTGGTGAAATGCAATATAATATATTTCCATGTGTTGTTTAGAATGTATTTCTTGCGGAATTTTGAATCTCTTTAATATTACATACCTGCACTACATGTATTTAGTATTATTGCCACGTGGTTATTGGGCCTATTCAGAACAACTTGATCCATGGAGTAATAGATCTGCGGGTTTATGGCCAACTCACTTGAAAGCTTGCCATATACTTCACTTTAAGATTTTGAATAATTTCCCTGCGGGGATTATGTGGTAAGCTTTCAAGTGGGTTGGCCATGTTTGACCGGCGGATCTGTTACTCTACGGATCAACTTTTGTTGCGAATGCGGCAATTGTTTACTCTCTACCAGAAGTCAACTGTGTGATGACATCAATTCTGGGCAAAAAATCCTACTGGTCTCTTCTGTACAGAAACATACACAGCATTAGAAATATCTGGTGAAAAAAATAAATCTCCTGTCTTTGTAAAGAATGTTGTTATTCTTAATATTCTGTAGTGAAAGAGGTAGTTGTACATGTCTTTTGGCACCATAATACTGGTATGTAGAAGGGGAGAGACTTTTTGAAGGTATTTCACTCTCTTATTTTAGCCTGAGTGTGCTTAATTTGCATGAAAATTAATTGTCTTACCCCTACATCTTTAATTTACTTTTCATTGGCTAATAATTGTCTTCTTATCTCAGTATTTAGTGGTTGTTTACTGTGAATTTTGTTTCATTTTAGATTAGGCCTATTCTTATTTACCAGAGTTCTTAAAGCTGGTAAGGATCGCAGATTTAACAATGTACGAGACCATCCTCTTCGGTTCTTTGTCTACTGGACAATACAAGGTATTATTACAAGTGATTTAATTTTTTTTTAGAAATTGTCTATACATTTTTTCTATACATGCAATAAATACAAATTGTTGTTTTAGTCTATACATGCAATTGATACATGTAATTCAACCCAAACATATAAGTCAACATCAGTACATTTCAAAGCAAACTTAAGGGCAGATGTTTAAAAAAATCCACCTTCTTTTGTCATAAATGATTGATAACAAATGGGCAAAATAATTAGATATTCTTTAATTTGTTAATACAATTTTATTTTTAAATTTTGGCAAAGATATAAAGGTAAAGTTTGGTGCCAAGTGCATTTGTATACTGAATACTGTATACTGACCTTACTCAGTTATTTCAAGAGGGGTATTTTTCTTCTGAAAAAAATTGGACCTTTTTGAGGCCTAAATTGACCCAACTTGAGAAAGAGCAAAGACCCTAGAACAAATTTTGATTCAGACATAATCTTTCCATCCAAAAGGATTATATATATATAGTTTAGTGAACACCCCTTGATTATAGGTCTCTGTATATGTAGAATTTTAACATCTTAGAAGAATTATTTACTTACCTGGACAGATAGTCTTCCTCAGTAAAAATATTTGTGATATTCATACTTCAAATTGTGGGTTAAATATAATGACTCAACAATAAAAGGAAAATATTTTCTAGAATAAAACCAGTTCATTTGGTATTCTTTCAAGGTATATGGCTGATGGCCATCCTACTACCTACACTGATTCTAAACAGCAAGACAGGGGACCAGCCCTTGACCATCAAAGAGTACACTGGCTGGTCACTTTGGGGCATTGGTTTCCTCTTAGAGGCTTTGGCTGACCACCAAAAGACCAGATTCCATAACAACCCAGAAAATCAGGTACTACTGCTACAATTTCATGGTATGAGCATAGCAGATCTTATTATTATTTTATTGTTCAGTAGACATATAAGGTTGATTCTTTTAATTTTTTTTAGAAATGAAATCTAACACCATTTTAGTGATAAATTATAAAAAAATGTAGGTAGATGATTATTCAAATGTCATGCAAATATACCTAGTATTTTGATGAAGCTTCAGGAATAACTGAAAAGTGCAAAGAATCATCCAAACTTAGGGACCATTCAGATCGAGAAGAGGTGAGTGCTAGTAAGGCCGCAACCTGCACAGGCACAGTAATTAAATCTCAGCTCAATTCCACCGATCGAGGGTCAATGCATGGAGAGATGTGTGAGAGGTGGGGAGACCATTACAGGATTAGCAGTCTTCCTTTCATGTAGGTTCGCCATATTTAGGTCACGGCCTTTCTAGCACTCAGCTCTTCTTGATCTGAATGGTCCCTTATGTGCTCTGGAATCTGGCCCCGGTTTCACAAAAAAACGTACCGGTAAGTCATGTTCCCTGGCTAAGAACTCAATTACCAAGATCACATGGACACATCTTACCCTATCAGGAACAGTATAACAGCACTCTCATGGAAATCCTAGTCAACTAAGCCAGGGAACTTACTTGAGTTTTTTTTTTTTTTTTTTTTTTTTAACTGGTTACAGGTACCATTTAATCTTTTTTCACTGTGCCCAGGGCAAGTTTATCACCTCGGGGCTGTGGTCCATTGTCCGCCACCCCAACTACTTGGGTGAGATACTTCTGTGGTCGGGGCTATATGTGTCAGCATCAAGTTATCTCAGTGGCTGGGAACGGGCCAGTGTCATCTCTCCCGTGCTGACCGCTCTCCTACTGACCAAGGTCAGCGGGATTCCTCTGCTGGAAAAATCTGGTATGCGTCGTTGGGGAGAGGATCCGCAGTATCTTAAATACTTGAAGGAAACACCAAAATTAATTCCTTTTTTGTGGTAATTAAAAGATTGCTGGGGCTACCTAAAATAATGCAAAACACTAAAAAAAATGCCATGATTTATTCCTTGATTGGAGGCTGTGTTTGTCAAGGTTTAAGTGAAAATCGAAGTTGGCATCCAATGATTGAAGAGTTATCTATTCAACACATTTTCCCCACATTTTCTTTTTTTTAATGAATAATGAGGAACTGAATGTATGCTGGTTTTATTTGATATACCTTGGTATGTATGATATTTGATTGTTGTTATATCTTTGCAAAATAAATGAAGTATTGAAAAGTTGGTTGCTACATTTGAATATTTGATGCTGATTTAAATATCCGTAAACTTTCAACACGTAATAAGCCTGCATTTATATCTTGAGGACAGGTTTCACATACAATGTTTAAGCAACATACATGTACCGTAGTTGCCATCCTTCCATACTAACTGTTTTCAGTGCCTGTTAATGAAATAGTCTTTATTGATGATTAGGTTTAAGTAACTACTGAAATATGTGTCTGTTGTTGTCACAACTTCAGTCCTTAATTTAGGTTCTGTTCAGAATAGAATTAATTGCGCTAGCAGGATCGTTCTATCTCAGTGGGGGTTCAGCCTTTACGTACTTGGGTAAAGTCGGGGAAAACTCTGTGGTCCATGATGTTGTTCATGCTGCTTTGCGAGGGGGCATGCCAGGCAATTCAGCTGTTGACGTTGACCTCGCCTTGGTGAGAATCCCCGCTTAGATAGATCGATCCTGCCAGTGCGACAACTTCTATTCTGAGCACAGCCTCAACCAGTGAAAATGAATGTGAACATGTTTGTGATAATAAATATTTTCGATTACATGTACATGTTTTATTGGTCCTTATAAAAATGTCCTGTCATAGTTCTGTTGAAACATGTGTCCAACAGAAAAAAAAAAAAAAAGTGCAAGCACATGAGCTTTCTCATATATAGATTCTGTTGTGAAACGTTTTTCTTCATATAATAATAATAATAATAATAATAATAATAATTTACTTTTTATGTACAGACACAGATGTGTCTGTACATATAGCCATCATCTGCGTCTGTCGTCGCCGTCGCCGTCGCCGTCGTCGCCGTGCACTTTTACCGATAACACGATAAGTGGAAAACTGTTTTTTCTTTTGGCTTGAAACTTACAGAACTGATGAATATTCATAATACGCNGGAAGACAGTCAGGTTATTAAGTTTATATTGCCTGGTATCTATTTTTTCTTCTGTTGGAAGACCATCAAAATGGAGGATGGATCAAAATAGATACTTTGGAATACTGTCAGAAAATATCTGTGGGTCCGCTCATGTTATTGACCATTTTACCTGTTGTGCATGATTAAAATTCAGTGTTGACTGACAGTGCTATTATAAGCATTATTTATTATTGCATCAAAATTGACAAAATGACCTATTTTGCATCTTTATTTTCTGTTTTTTGCCTGTACATTTGACAGCTTTGCTGCCTTGTTTGTTGTTATTTTAATTAAAAGTAAACCAGTTATTTTTCACTAGTGTGAGTTATTTGTGTCTATCTATAGAACTAATGTATTTCCATTTTAATAATAATTTCAGGAAGATTTGGCATTCAAACAGAAGCAAAAGGAAGAACAGAAAGCCCTGCAAGAATTAAAACAGAAAGCTGCAAAAGGGGGTCCTTTAGGTTGGTTATGTTGTGCTCATAGCTAATTGGTTAAACTCTACAAAATCTTGGACTACCTTATGAGCCCAAAATATATTACTGGACAACTGTCAAGGTTACCTAGGGACTAAAGTGACTGGGTCAGCACAGTCTCAATGTTGGGTCTAAATAGTCTGCAACCCAACTGTCCAGCCAGTTAGTGACTCAGATTAATAAGTAGAAATCTACCAAACCAAATCAGAATTGACTAGTAGTCCCAAGATGACATGTTTAAATTACAACTGAAATACAAATTTTAAAAAACTGGAATTTTCATTACTGCAATCAGGCAGGTAATTTCTCATCTTTTTTCTCATCTTTCTGACACCAAATCTACTGGTCAGTTACTTTTGACTTATTGCTAATGTAGCAAAGTTTAATCTAAGGAATTTCATCAGTAATCATTTTTGAACCCAAGAAATGGCTGTGAAATACCAATGTTTCGGTGAAGTTGGTAAATTTTGTGGTATTTTAACAATTGGTCTTTTCTTTTCTTTTGCAGCTGGTGGTGGAATAAAAAAATCTGGGAAATGACACCTTACCATTAATATTCTCACTCCGAAGATGAAGCTTCTTTTCACCAATATACAAACCTTACCAAAATATGTCTTTTAGAACTGACAGTTGTTAATCAACAAGTCATTTACTGGGACCTTCTTGAAGAGGTTGTGGAATTCACGGTGAAGTGAGAGGCATCCTTGAATGATTGATTGCTGCAATTTGGAAGCAAGGAGAATGAACACTATAAGATTCAATTCTGGTCATTTTGAGTGAAATTAAATTTAAAAAATAGATTCAAAGAATGATGTGAAACACGTTTATTCTGGATTTAGAATACAGTATTTTGAATTTTTTTTATTCCTTCTGTACTTTGTATGAAAAACATATATTCAGAAATTAATATTTTGTTTTGTTTATTTTATAACTTATTTTTGAGAGAAGGGATAAAACTTTCACCTGTGCCTGATTTTTTGGTTTGATATTTCTTTTTGTGTGTGGGTAAGTTGTTCTTGAAGTGGAGTATTCCTGTCCACTTTTGGTATTATACGAACCGTTTTCAACATGTTAAGGAAAGAACGTGTATGCCAGGTTGATAGAATGTGTTAGGTGTGACACTCCAGTGCAGCGTTAGCGGATTGTGGTAGGTGTGACCGCACTGCGCCAGAGCTGGCATCCATGCCTTAAATAAAATCTAAACCTGCTTTTAAGAGAAAGCAGGCACTCTTAGAAATAACTTATGTGAGTAAGAAAATGCAAAGCGGCCACTCCTGGCCATTGACAAATGTGAAATGTTTGTCCATGCTCTTTGGAATCCTATTAAATCTATTTCAAAAAATAAAGATAAAACCAGATTTAAAATTAGAAAATAACGTATGATTCAAAGAACTCCCTATCTGTCTAGAAATATTTGAAGAGCTCTAAAATTATGAAAACAACCACTGATCGAAATTTATGACTAGAAATCTGGAGAAATCACTATGATAAATGACAGACTCGGGCAGGTCGACCGATTCTGATTTGCGATCGTAGCAGTCAAGCTGCTCTGCGTGAAGTGATCCTCTTTTATACACACTATTTTCGTGGAAAAGTCGGTGTGGAGTGAGATAGAGGACGCTGGAGAGTCGCCTCTCTACTAATTGTATGCTTATCTTGTGTCCCGGTACTCATAGAAAGGAAGCGAGTTTCCTGAGTCCTCTGACGCTAAGGGTGAACAAGACACACTGGCTTAGAAAATGGTAGTAAATGAAAAAGTAAACAGCTGACTTGAATCGAATGGCGATAAAAGTGATGTGTGTTGTGAAAAATTGCCTTCGAAATTCGGTTACCTGTTCACTGGCTAGCTTAAAACGTTACGATTTTTAAAATCCGATTATTCTCTTTGTGTAAGATATCACAAAATAGTTATAACGTGGATATTTTGATATTATATTAAATTGAAAATTGTTTAATATTGAAATAACATAGCAAACTATGTTATTGATAATCACAGAGTAATACCGATACGTTGACGTTTAAATTTCACAGCTATATTTTTCATATACCAAGAAATATTGATTTTATACATCTTGCAATTAACCTTGTCATTTATTCGTCGATAAGGGGTTTAAAATTATGTTAACACTTGTCGCGGCACGTAGCTATTACAGGTATTGGTCTATTATGGAAATGACTTGGTTCATTTCACTTGCTAGTTTGTGTTCAAACATACATAGCAGGTTGTCCTCTGCCTGTATTTGCACCAGTGCAGGTTTAAAAACTGGAAAAGAAAAGAAGAAAAATAATGCTCAAAGCACGTGGTTGAAAGTTTGTTGGGTAGACAACAAACTTTCTAGTTTGTAGGTGTGTGTGGGTGGATGTTTGTGGGTGTCGCGTGTGGGCGTGTTTGAGAGCACGTGCTTGAAATGAGTAGGCGCTGAGGTCAGATTTTATTTGCATTTTATTTGCATTCGAACAATGGGAAACAGGATGTCGGCAATCCCTCCTCGAACATATATGAGAGTTCACTTAAGTGACAAGAGCCTCACGAGGTCATCTTGACATAGATCTAAAAAAAAAGTTATTTAAATTATCATATTTCAAATATATCATCTTAGATAATGCATCCTGAAAACTTTTTGTGAACATCTTTTTTTCATTTCCCGTGGTATATTTTCATGTTCAGTATTCAATAAACTTTTAAAATGATCTTATCAAAATTCTGATTTTTTTGGAAATATAAAGTTTATTATGGTGATGTTTTTTATCATTGTTGTTTATGTACTATAAACTATTATTATTGATTCTTACCTGAGATAAATTGAAGTGGTTTTCAAGGTAAGGGCGGGAATTTTTTGGCTCGAATAACAGGGTAATCAAACCATCAAAACAGGGATTCGTCGCGTTTTCAATACTTTTCCGTCTTGCCCATCTGCCCGTTTCTGTCCAACTAGCCTGTCCTTTTTCTCGACAACTTTTTGCCATTTCTCGCTGCAAGATTTCGTTCTCTTGATAATAATGCACATTTTTATTTCATTTTACATTTATTAGATTTAGATATTTTTTTACCCTTAAACATGACTGTTTACGTCACGAAGATCAAATCGATCTAAAGTGCTTCATTTTTAGACAAGCGTCCGCATCTTTTTCCTCAACGATAATTTCGTGTGGATGTGCAATTCCATCTGGCTTCTGCACTCACGAGATAAGTGCTTGACAGTCGATCTTCATTCAGCGCCCCACTCCCGTTTTGCAGTTAAAAAAGGTCACATTCTTTCAACTCAACGTAAGCGCGTGCTCTTGTTCTAGGCCTACCTGAACGTTTTATAGAACTCACGTACGTGCGCTACTGAGAGGAAAAGCCAAAAATAGGCTAAAAAGCCTCATATGGGTTAAAAAACTGAATTGGATCTTTGCGGTTAAGGATGAATACGGATATTCCTATGTTGTATTTTATGTAGGCCTATAATTAGCATTATGTAAAGGCATATATATAAGAGAAATCCACTGCATTTTGCATTCTTTTTAAACCGGGCAGTGTGTGATCAGCGCAAAGAAATTCAGTGCTTTACCAGCCCCTCCCCCTCAGATATTGAGCTGTTATCAAGATCTAGCCTATTTTGTTTTTAACTGGGTCACTATAAAGAGAAGAAAGCATTGGTTGGACGATAGTAGGGCAGTCATGTCAATGATGGCGCAGCAGCAGTAAGTGTACAGTTAATATGAGACGTGTGTTTGTGTGTATATGTGTGCTGTCATTTTGTATTTATATCTGCAACAGCTAAATTGACGCTTGGTTCTTGTGCGGTATGTCATATCTGCAGAATGTCGGTGGTAAATGTTGTGCAATTCAGTTTATCCTACAGTCAATTTTTTATATAGGCCTATAAGGCTATATATCTGCAGTTGCCATTTTCTCAGATCTTCCTGTTTCGGTTTTGGGTTGTTAAAATAACATCTAGCCAATTTTAGTGGTTGTCCATTGGTTGACTTTTTTATAATATCAGTAGGTTGTGTATACATGTACATGTAGCTCTATAGTTAGGTATACATGTATATTCTTTAATATGTCTTGGTCAGGTTGACCTACTGGCCCACTGCAGAAGGACAATGCACTAGTACATGTACCGTACGTGTTATATTACTCTACTAGTAAAGATAGTCAAAAGCCATGATCACGTGCGACAGATACCTGTAGACGATATAAAGTCGATTGATAATCTACCCTCTTTCAAATATTGGATTAATGATTAACTTAGCTATTTGGGTGCCACCTTGCGTCATGTACTGCAAGCACCTGTATCGGGTATTTTTCCCTTCTGAGCACCAAGACCAGCGAGGAAAGAGGAAGCAGAAACAGATTTTCTTAAATTCATTTTTGGCGTTCAAAACAGTTTAGCATAAATTAGGAGATGTCTGGCGAAAGACAGCCTCTGCTGAACCCACTTGCGTCAGGAGGTTACTCAAATACAGGGTGGGCATTTTTTTTTTACCATAGAGTTTTTATCGTGTTAGATTGCCAGCTAACTTCACATTCTTTAAATATCTGTGCTGCAGTTAGCGGGAATGTTACATCCGGGTTTGTATATGTGGCATGCTGAGAAGCCAGAATATATGAAACGAATAGGTGAATTAATATTGATGCAGTTACTCTATGATTTCTTGCTTTCCATATGAGAAAATTACTTATCTTCATCATAGAAAATCAATTGTTTTTTTTTCTTTTTTTTTTTTTTAGGTGTGATAGGTGAATGTTTTCAATTTACTTCCCGTCCTCTATCCCCCCCCCCCCATCCCACCCCTTAATTAAAATTCGGGCTGTTAGTTCAAAGACCAATGAACTAAATTCCTTTCATGAGAACCCTTACATATATAAGATGTGATCAAAAAGTAAAGGCTTGTTTTCTCAGTAAATTTAAATGACAATATGTTGTCTTTTCTTTCCAGACACCAAGGCTATGGTCCAGGTCAGCCACAACCCCCATACCCCCAGGGTTCTTTGGCAGCCCCAGGGGGTGCACCCCCAGGACAGCAGGGACCAGATCAGGGTAATCACGGAAACTTGCTTTATGTAATGCTATATCCTCTTATACAGAAAGCACTTGATATAGTATATCTTGCCTGCTTAAATTATTATTTTAATTAGTAATTTTAATAGATTGTAAGTAAATAACACCATATTGAATTTTGAATGATGTACATGTACATGTATTGTTATAGCAGATGAAATTATTCTTGCTTACATTGAAGCACTAGAAAAACAATACAGGAACATTGTATATTTGTGATGCTTCACTCTTGTGGTTTAGCTGTTTGAATTGATAAGATTTTTATCCAATTAATGATATATGTTCAAAAACAGTTAAATTTCTCACTGTTTTTACCCAAGTTTAGTTTTGGGTGGCGCTTTAACAGTAAACAAAGAACCAAGAATAAATTGTTAATGATAAAGCATTGTCTGGCTCCCATATTTTATTGAAAAAATAAATCTATAAAAATTCATTATCTGTCTACAGCAGCAGCAGCTACAGCTCCTCCCTTAGAGAAGATGGACCATGTTGCTGGCTATGAAAATGTGGGATTTAATGCGGGTAGGTTGACAGGTGTCCTTACATAATGATTACAGGTGTGTGAACACACACTGGAACATTTTTTGACCAGATTACAATGTTTAAAACGTGTTTGGTGGGTTCTGTTTCACAAAAAGTGTTTTTTTTTTTTAATTTTATTTATTTATTTATTTATTTATTTATTTATTTATTTATTTATTTATTGAGACTGAGACTTTGAATACCAGAATGAGATAGCCATCCCATTTAATTAGTAAGATCGGTTTTGTCATATTGGTCTTAGCTTGTTTTACGAACACTTGGCCCAAAACGTACTGGTACGGTTACATTCCTTTTGTAAAACTAGCCCTTATAACTGAATGGAATGTTGATTGATATTTTCACCATTCTAACATGTATATTATTGCTATGTGTGTGACCTATTGATTACTGTGACACTACTCAAGTTACAGTATCTGAATGGGTTCATGTATTTCAAAGTGGATATACCCAAGTGCATCTTAAGATAAGGGCTCAGTGGTGGTGGCAGTGTATGGGCTTGAGATAATATGTATATTATCAGTATTGTCCTGGTATTTGCTTAGTTCACACCCCCTTGGATCAATGTTGAACTGGTCAAGGTCATTTCAACTGAATGGGAGGGTCCATATATATATGAAATGACATGTATTCAAACAGGATTGGCTTTGAGGACTTTGTGACCCAGTACTGTAAAACTGTTGTCATTCTTTATCTGTTTCATTAAAGAGCGGTTTGATAAATAAGTACCTAGTTGTAAATTTATGTAATTATGAAAAAATGTACATATAGACATGCATTATCCCAAGGAATGATTTAAAAAATCTGGAGGTACTTAAAAAACTTTTCTCTCATACCAGTACCTTTCATGGCATTTGGTATAAAATATTAAATAACTGAAAGATATGTGACATTTGAGGCGGCTATGATTGCTACATGTTCATAATTGCCAAATTTTAAAAAATATCATAAGGAATTTTTGCAAGAAACATTATAGTTCAGTAAATGATAAGCTTGTTTTATTTTATGTGACAAATAACATAAATGGTGCTGCTTTGGAGTTTATTTCTGCCTACTCGCACTGGTATACGCTGTCCATATAGTTTGTCTTGATGATTTTCCTCAGCTGCTGCTCCCCCGCCAGCATATGCAGATGCTGTGGCACAGGGTCCACCCCCTGAGAGGAGAGATATACAGAAGTAAGTGGAGGGCTATTCCTGAGAAAGAATTCACCGTAAATCATTATTTCTGAGAAAGATAAAAGTTAAGAACTGCATCATTTCCTTTATCTGTTTAGGTATTTGTAGTCATTTGTGATACAGTTGATGAATATAGGCATTTATTGTCATTTGTAATAAAAATTATATTTACTTAATTTTTACTTTATTATTTCTTTGTCTTGACAGGACCACAGCAATTTAGACTATTTCTATGCAAATATAGAGAAAATCTTCAAAGATTGATAGAACATATAACCATAACCTGGGGTAGCGCTAATAGCCAAATGCTAAAACTGACTTTAATTAGTTAAACAAAATAAGTTTGATTCTACTTTAGTCAAATTTAAACCACTTGAAGAAAAAAGTGACGAAGTGGTAGCAATTTTGCTCAGCAGAAAAAAAAATTGTTATCGCTACCCCAGATAGCAAACACAGTATGTACAGTATTTTCTTTCTTACCTCAGCGTACCTGTGATAACAGAGGAACAAGCACGTGAAGCCATGTTGCAGTATGTAGCCGAGCACTGTTGCTACGGTAGCGGCACTGCTAAAGAGATGGTGTTTAGAGACCTACAGTCTAGCAGTGCATTCCATGTAAGCTCTTTTACTTGTTGATGTTGTTTTAAAAATTCATGCTGGGGAAAAATCTCATTGAAATATATGTTAGAACCTAAAAATTATAGTGGAATAATCTCCTCTAAACTCCTCCATTTACTAATACTGTCATCTGTTGTACTATTGTCCTGTGAGTAGCAAATTGTTAGACCAGAGGGCTTCATGTAGTAGGACATGTACCACTAATAGGTATCTCTATCCCGAACACATTGTGTTGATAATTATTTTTTATCAAACAACATTTTTATCAACAAATAACAAATACTCAGCACAAACTCAAACTTTCATTTTTCATGTCACTAGTCTTATCTCAGCACATTTCTTTTTACTCTTTGCGCTCATTGTCATGTTTGAATTTTCCAGTACACATTGGAGACCTTTACCGAGAAACGACAGACATCTTGGGCATATGAGCCTTACATAGGTTTGTATATTCAGTTTAACAGTAACAACTGAAGGTGTATGAAAATTCAAAATTTTAAAAGGGATATTTCCCTTTTTTATCTCACTTTGTACATTTGTGCAGGATGACATATTTAGCAATTTTCACAAATGTACTTCTAAAGTCATCATCAATGTATTAAGATACAATAAATAAACTTATGCACTAGAAGATTGTTTAAAATTCAGTTTAATTCTTTTTTGCTAATTGTAATTGTTCTCATTCTTAGTAATTGTCTTATTTTGTTTTATAACAGGGCAGCCAATTGACGGCCCACATAACGGCCCTGCCCCAGGCCCCTGGGACATACAGGTGCAACCACCCACAAAGTTCAAGACCCAACACTCTCATGTGGAGGTCCCACACACTGCCTCTGTCAAGGTATCTCTCTCTCTCTCTCTCTCTCTGCCATTTACTGTATTACAGGTTGAATATGTAAATATACTTGTATGTACATGAACATGCATGTAGTACATTTACTAGTATCCAGAAGTGCAACCGTTAACCAGCATTGATTTAAAAGGCAAAGACTCTGACTTAACACCTGAAACACTTGAAAAGTTGTTTTGGAAGACCAACTTAGACATACATGTAAGGACATAATGAAAGTAATTAATATTTCAGCCATGCCATGACTGTATTGGGAACGGTCGTGTGAGATGCCACCATTGCCATGGCTGTGGACATGTAAGTAAAGAAAAACTTGTCTGTATTAGCATGCTGCAAACTCTACATTCTATCGAAATGGATTATTTATGACATTATGGGTAAACTTTTATTTACTAGTTGCTCAAGCTAATGAAAAAAGATTGTGATTCTTTCTCAAGATTCTCATAAATTACCTTATAATAAGAAAATGATAATTTTTATTCACAATTTTCTTCTAAAATTTTTATGTAGCAAAGTATCACAAGTAAAACATTTTATTATTGTACTAGATAATGCTATTATACATTTCATTAAAAAAGTACTTTATAAATGTTTATTGAGCAGTAGTTTTCATGCAAGCTTCACATTTTTCCCCCAGAGTCGCTGCCACCACTGTCACGGACATGGGACCGTGGAGCGTTACGAGGATGGACACCACCATCACCACACTTGTCATGTCTGTCATGGCTCTGGGAATGCCAGGTAATATCAAAGTTTTATGTTATGTGTGGAATGCCAGGTAGGCCTAATGCCAAAATTTTATGTCATGGATAGACCTAAGCGTCTGTAGCATTGGTTTTTCTTCCTTGAGTTTTTTGGCACTACTTGAAAGAGAACATTTTGTGCAAAGGGCTCATATTAAGAAAACATGAACATTTTCAGTGCCTGTGATCAGAGAATCTCTCATACAGTTGTAGCTTTTGTTAGACAATTTAGTATACTGAAAATGTGTAACCTGTAGTTGTCCTTGCATTATGCTTAAAGTGAGTGTGTGTGTGCATGCACGTGGTTGCATATGACTCGTATTATGAGTGGGACATGTTTGTGTGTGCATCAGGTGGGTGATATGCCTCAAATCACCTGTGTACCTATCACAGGGTAAACATTTCATGTATAATGACATTTAAATTATCTCTCTCTCTCTCTCTCTCTCAGATGTCACGTGTGTCATGGCCATGGTCAAGTCCCCTGCCGTACCTGTGATGCCAAGGGGAACTTAAAGTGCTTCATACGCTTGACCATCACATGGTAAGTAGGCATGTGTGTGGAAACAGGATGAATACAGCACCAGAATCAACTTTTATTTACTTTAACAATTAACACAGCTGATGATTAAAAGAATTCATTATTAAAGATCTAATTTACTTCCTCCTGACTACAAAATGCTAAAAAATTATTTCAGCCACAGATGGGTTTCGAGTTCATGGAATATCTGCTAAATTTTGTGTGTAGTTTATTTTGAGATATTAAACAAGTTATGTATTACATTTTTCACCACTTATAAAAACTTTTCTATTTGTATTTGATTATATTCAAACAATAATTTTTTTAAAAATTCAGAAAAATTAAAGTGACATGCCCTTTTCAGGACCAACAACATGAATGACCACATCGTAGAGCGTACATCCCTCCCCGATGAACTGATCCGGTCAGTGACTGGGCAGGTGGCCTTCGAGGAGGAACTTCCTCGTGTCTGGCCCATCAACCACTTCCCAGATGCAACCATCAACCAGGCATCCCAACAACTGGTAGAGAGACACAACACACAGTTCCAGATGGAGAGGATTTTGTTGCAGGTAGGGAGTAACTCAAAGTGAATTGTCTTTGGTGTGAGCACAGCTCTTATTTATGGCGATTGTGCTTTTCTTGATCATTATGCAAAAAAATAAATAAATAGAACAAAAAATAAAAATAATAAAAGAAAAGAAAAAAGAAATAAAAGCAAAAAAAATCCCCTTGTGTTTCCCTTAAGCTCTAGCTGACAAAGCCATCTCAGCAGAATTGTATTTTGGTTTATGTGTATACAGGTTCTCAATTGTATGTTACTTATGTACCAAGCTGCTGAACTATATTAAGTTGAAAACAAAGCAGGATTTTAGATTCGGCTGTGAAATCTTTTCATGAATGTGTTTTTGAAGCCATCTATTGCATTGTTGGAATCCATTACTTCCTGAGAGCATTTATTCTTATGTACTTGATTCCAGCGTCACCAAGTGCGTATCATCCCAGTGACAGAAAGCCTGTACACCTGGAAGGGAAAAGACTACAACTTCTTTGTATATGGCTTTGAGAACAAGGTGTGGACGTCCAACTATCCACAGTCCTGCTGCTGCGGGTGCACCATCCTATAGAAAACTGTTCCTTTTTTTTTTTTTTGACATGGGTGCACCATCATATAGAAGACTGGGTTTCTTGATGTGGGTGCACCACCACAAAAGAGACTGGGTTTTTTATGTGGGTGGCCCATTATATGGGAGACAAGTTTTCTTGGTGTGGGTGCACCATCACATAAGGACAATGTTTCTTGGCGTTTTGATTGCATGTGTTGGGAGAAGGGGGTCAATGATGAAATGGGGTAAATTTGTTTCAAATCCAGAGTCCTTGCAATTGTCAAAACTGAATCCATACTTACAACTGGAGAAGGGGAAGTATTAGGATGGGGTTTCTCATTCAGTTCATTTTTTTTTTTTTTGTAAAAGCAACCATATCTCCAATTATTTAAATGCTATATGTAAATGTCTTTATCAGGAATGGGCTAGACAATATACACATCAGAGAATCATGGGAAGATGTTATTTTTTTAAGTGGTCAGTGTTTACAACTTTATCTCCAATTTTAAATAGTATTTGTAAATGTCTTTATCAAAATGTACTAGACAGTATACACATCACAGAAATGTGAAAAGACATTCATTTTTGGTAGTCATTGTTTACAATTAAAAGGTGGGTCATTCCACAAGAAAGTGGTCATTTGAGTCAGGTCAGTGAAACAAGCATTTTGTGTAATATTTATAGAACTGTGTTTTATCACTTTTGAATGACTGCCAATTTCTTTCCATGTTGGAGAGAGTCATCATACAAAAAAGCAAAATATTATGACTCGAGCCAAAATTATGCAAATATTACACAAGATGTGTGGGTTGTGCACTGTCATGACTTTTAAGTTTTATTTAAAAATAATCACTTTCATTGTGGATTGACCAAGGCTAGGATATACATTTGTAACTGTGCCTTAGAATACTGTATAATGCACAAACAGTTTGCCTTGTGGAATGTGTTGCTTAGTCTTAACTATTTATGTTGTTGAAAAATTAAAATCTGAAAATGAACCGATCTATGCTTGCAGTTGATAGTGTTTACCGAGGATGCTTTATTAAACCAGAATGTATAGCAGTCTGCCAGATATGTTATAAATTTAAACTGTTTAATTGAAAAGGAAGTCTGTCATTTGTGATTAAATGATGTTGGATAAGTCAGTGTAATTGATATCAGAACTAACCCAAGGCATACACTATCACTTATACTGGTACTTTCTTTTTTCTTGTAAATGATGTCCACATGGGTGAAAGTTGTAAAAACTGAAAATCCTGAAAACATAGCTTGTAGTTCTTCATTGCTTTTACTAGACCATTTAAAAAAATGATCAAAATGAAGACTGTAAATCCTGCCAACTTTTGCCACTATTTCAAGAGTAGCTGTCAAAGAGAGTATTATTGCTTGTTGATCAATGCTTCAATGTATCCAGTACTTTGGCAGTTATTACTGTCCAGATCTTTAATATTTTACTGGCCAGTATTAAGTAGTCTTCTGGTTAGACTTTGATACTGTGTATCAGTCTTAAGATGTTAGGAACTACATATTTTGATAGGTAGACTTTATGATAACGTAGTATCCAACTCATGGATATGTCCAGAGAAGAAGCCAGTATTGCATTGTCCTATCAATAAAATGATTGATTTGCAAAGTATTTGTTTCATCTTTTACTCATTGACATGCGAGTGAAATTGGATTTCATTTAATATATTTGTAATTATGTTTGCTTTGTATTCTCAGGGGAGATTGCATATTAAGTTAAGGTCAGTATTCCTAGTGCTGGTTTACATTCATGTGTAGTTACTTTAAATGATGGAGAAATGAACTAAAATACACATTCCACATCGAAATTAAGTTTCAGCTATTTGACTTCTACATGAAACAAAACAGTGACTAAACTGACTGGAGATTGGTTAGCCCTCCTTTTTTTAACTGTTAAAAAAAGTAATATTTTTGCCTTCAGTTTTACTGTTACAATGAACCTTTACAATCAGGTACATTAAATAAATCTCCTCACTTGCACTTCTAAGAAATCAAATGCACAAAAATGCCTCTATTGGTCAAGAGAATTGGCTTTATTTCAAAAAAATCCTACGACCCTTGATAGTGATGCCATCAAGTCTGAAAGAACTTCAATCTGTATCAACTCCCATACCACAGTGAAACAAACCGCCACTAAAATGCATAATTGAAATCTGTTCCATTTCTCTTCTACTGGTTCTTTTATATTCACAAGTCTTTTCAACATTAAACGTGCCAGGCACCAAAAAGTCTATTCTTCTATTCCAATCCGTTGAGAGCATCCCACCTATGGGAACTGCTGTAACAAAGATCAAAACGTGTGCACACACTGGGAAAAAAATCATCAATATTTCCACCCCTCTGGAAAACCATCTTTTTGAGTCGAATGTCCCCAAGACGATGAAATCTAGATAATAATAATGACAATACTTGCTTAAGATCAATTTACAATTTGTAGATATATCCCTAGGTTTCCTAATTGGCTTTAATTTTATACAGCAGCAGCTCCTGAGATGATTTCTATGAGCTCTCTGGTGATGACGGCCTGTCTGGTTCTATTGTAGGTCAGGGTTAACTTGTCTATCATCTCACCTGAATGACAACAAATAACAACAATGTCAACAGCAGTGACTACACAGTGAAGTATATAAACCCAATACATAATTTTTGTGTTATTTTAAAACCTTTCATGGGAAGTTAATGATGACTTTTTTCACTTACTCACAAGGCTTTACAAGTCTAAAACTGATAAACAAGAGAACAATGCTATTTCATACTTTTTTTTAAAACTAAATACAATGTAGCGACTGTAAAAAAAAAAAACATTCAATATGGTAAAACAGCTTGACTCTACATCAAGCCAAAGAAGGAAAAGTAAAAAAAAAAAAAAATCATACCGGCGTTTTTGCTGGCACCGTCCATAGCAGTCATCCTAGAGCTCTGTTCACTGGTGGCAGCCTCCTTCATGGCATAGTATATGAGGCTTGCAAACTGGAACTCACTGTAAGACCTCAGAAGCTCGTCATCCACACTGTCGTACATGCCCATGTTCTTAGCCTTGGTGACAGCAGACATGGAGTGGATGGGGAGAGTGGTGGTCTTGTAGGACACAACAGATCTGAAAGTCACAGAGCACAATGATTATTATTTACAGATATTTGAAATGAATTGTTTGATGGTACGTAGCTAAAACCGACAGGAAAATTATGACGTATGTTTGAAATAAATTGTTTGACAAAAACTTAAAGCCACAGGATAAAAAAAAAAAACCCTAGAAGGCAGACATTTCACATCTAGTTTCAAAATTAAAGTTACACATTTTTCAATTCGTCACACAAAATTTAAGTTTCTTTCTCCAATTTTCATCCTTTGTACTTTTTGGTGAAATTAATAACACTACTGTGAACAATTGTTAACAGATATGAATTACTGAAAAATTTACAACAACAACAAAAAAATAATAAAATAGCAATAATAATCTTTAACACCAGAAATTCTAAGAAAAAAACTGTAGTAAAATTTGGAAGAAAATGTCCACAATTTGAAAACCACTTACTTGTAAACATTATAGTAAACTGATCCACGCTCAAAATCAAACCCACAATTCATAATTTGGTTAGCAACCTCTGAAGCATCATTAAACGTTGGAGGTTTCTTCCCTACATCCGAAAATGTCATTAATATTTTGCTGCCATGTTGCCTGTAATGTAAACAACAGAAATGAAATGTTAGCTATATTCATGTTTGATAAGAGTATATGATAAAATGTGGCTAATATGCCAGCATGTGCTGCAAAAATGTACAGTCTGGCAAGTATATACATACAACAAGACGAGTCTAGACTGCAATACAATAAGGCAAATTTTATGCAAATTTTTACACTTCACATAAAGGGTACATGACAAGTAAGCCAAGGGTANAAAAATAAATTCAAATGCAAGTATGGATTGGTACAGGACTTACTGGGTATCGGTGAAAAAAACTGCTGACCCAAGGTAAATTTATAAAATAATATTATTATTAATATTGAAAAGGAGTTAAACTTATACATACCGTTTTTAAAAGGAGTGGTGTGTTTGTTGGTTAACTGTATGTACTGATTAATAAGTGTAAAATAATCGCCATATTGATGTGTTGCTAAAATAAAAAAATTTTTTTGCCACAAATAAACGTGTATTACATGTATGAAAATAAAATATAGCAAATTGAATTGATGTATCTTTTGTTTTGTTTTTTCGTTTTTTCATAAAAAAAGAACTCTTATTGGTTGGCCTCATATAATAAATAAATGCTTTTTATAAAGAAAAAATATGAAATGTTTATTTTCCTCCATTCTTCCTGTGCCAGCTTCATTAGACTATATAGACAATTATGAGCGGCGGAAAAACTAAAACGAGGTCAGAATGCCAACAGAATGTACTGAGTCAAAACGAGGCTGGTACACGGTTGTTGCAAGGAAGACATTTTTTGCATACACGGGTGTGAATTGATTTGTGCCATTCCTGGATGAAGGTAAAGTTCCTTACATGCTTACATTTACAGAAAGCTGAATAAATTTGCCACAGCTTACTGGTAATTTGAAATTGGAACCTGTTCTCTAAGAATGCAAGCATTAGAGTCAAAGTTGAACTTCCGCTGTAGCTTAAGTAAAATATTTGGTTTCAAACTCGTTTTTCTCCACAAAATAGGGTTTAAATCAACTCGAGGAGCATCTGACATGATTTGCAATTTACTTTTAAAAATGATAATATACATAACATAACTTTTATATCCTTAAAGGCCGAGATATTCCACCGTTTCTGACACCCTACAAATCTCAAAAAATTTCACCCAATTCAAATTTTTGAACTTCCGGTTTGGTTAAAAGCCACCTAGCGGCAGACCGGTGGCTCCCAGGCTGTCTATCCCAACGTTACACATGCCCCCTATCGTTACAAGCATGTCGCTGATGTATTCACGGTGCTACAAAGGGGTATAGCTTTGTTTAATTAAAACATCTGACGAACTTGAATGATCCCAAGACACCTGCAACCTTATAGTCTGCGGAGCCTGCGCACCTGCAAGTTAAATAATCCACTACAGTTGTCAAGATGAGTCAAGATCTTTATCGCCACCTATCGGCCCTCAATGTAACTATTTACGTTATTGAAAAACTTAAGTCCGAGAAAGGGAATATACCGAGATTACAAACGTTGGGTTACTGGTTCAACTCCAACTTGTGTGAAAAGAGTGCCATTTAATTATCTGTGTACATTGATAGAGACATTGTGAAAATGCTTACAGACTTTATAGACAAGGTTAACACTTGCAAGGCATGCTGGGAAGTATAGTGTTTTGGAAACATGGCGGATTATTGAATTCCTGGAGATGAAATATATGTCAGCCGTTCATTTGTTCAAAGTGAGGATGTTTTAGGGCTATTTAAACCAGTGCTGTAGGTGAGTGACAGGAGAATTTATTCTCTTGGTTTGATGTACTGATATTTTGATGTCTTGGCACAGATGGTTAAATATCATCTTTTGAAGATTAGAAACAACGTTCGGAATTTGTCAGACTTTTGTGAAGCTGAGCCACTAATATAACAATCCATTGTCCAGTACAGTCAGAGGTACTGTAATCGCTGACTTTGGATTAAGTTCAGGTGAACATGTGTACTGCTCAGAACAATTTTGCTTTTATGACTTAATATTTTGTCATCCATATCATGCTTTTTTTCACATTTATAATAGAATTATATTTACAGTGTTTGCTACTGTTATGTACAGTTTCTGTGAGTGTGACAAAGTGCAATTCTAAATTAAGTCTACAGTTGACATAAAGTACATGCATTTACAGGGTGTTTTTTGTTTGTTTTGCCAGTCATAAAAATTGTGTTCAATATCAAGCCTCTAAAGAAAACTAGCGAGGAATGTTCCCAGCTTTGAATACCAGAACCTCTGAGCATCACTTTTTAGGGTTCTCTCTTTAGGTTCATACCACCCCATTCCCCTGCATCATTACTTCCCCACATCATTTCACCCCCTAGCAAAATGATGTTGTTACCCACATTGATTCCCCTCCCTCCACCTGCACTGTTACCTTGCTTCTTTGGTATTTGAATGATGTTTCAAATAATAAAAATGATAATATTAATGATGTTTGAAATAATAATAATGATAATAGACTAGAAATAATAAAACAAAATAAAAATCATTTTCCCAGTTATTTACAGCAAGGTTTATAAATAAGAATTGTATTTTATTTGTTGCATTTTTGCTGGTGTGGTCTAAGTAACAATGCAGGGAAGTACTAGTAATGTTGTGGGATAGTATCAGTCCAGAGATATTCATTTTGCTATGGATGGAAATTTGCCTTTTTAAAATTATTTACTATTATTTACTAAAAGTATAATACATATGTAGCTCAAGTTTGGCAGGAATGTTGATAAGAGCAAACCAAATTTTTTGACGTAAAAACTTCAAAAACATTGAATAGTTTTGTGAGAAATATTAATAATTGATCACAACAGACAGAAAAAAATGGACAAGCTTTTTTGTCAATCTATTTAATAACTTCAAAACTCTGCTCTGTGAGTGATTTGTTAAAGACAAAATGCATTGATGTGATTATTTCGTTATTTTAACTTTACAAATGTAAGAGGTGAGTTTGGGAAGTAAAATGATTTTTTATGAAATTATAAAGATAATGTGTAATTACAGATGAAAGATTATGGACAAAAAATTGTCATGGTGCAAAACTTATACTTAAACAATAATAATAACACTTTTTATCACAATTTACCATTAATTCAGTGGAAAAATATTTGCACAATAATTATTCATTTGTCTTAAATGATGAAGTTTGCATTTACTGGTAATACCATGCAATGTGATAGTTTAGATAATATCATTAGCTAAGGAGCTAGTCTTTTCTAATGATATACAAGCATGCAATATACTATTAGTTAGAGTCAACTATACCTTATACCTTGATGGAGCTATTGTAAAATATTGGAGAAGTCAATCATCAGTCTAATGGTTAATGATCCTGAGAATCTTTTGTGAGGATGTTGATGGCTCAGTTCTATGGACATGAACATCACAAATCCAAATTGTCTTCTAGAGAGAAGCTTAATAATTGCTTAGAATTGTTAATTAAAATCCATTAACTAATCAAGGAAACCATGATCAAGATGTGTAACTGTTTCATCACTAGTTGTGACCAGTTAAATACTAGTATTTGCTCATCTCTTTAACCAGTGTAGAAGTTAACCAAACCAGTAGTATAGTGCCAGAATAAAGCCTAAGCCACCTGTCATCTTTGATTAATTCCAGTCAGTAATTATCTTAACTAGTCATCTCTCAGGTATAGAACAGGTAAATGACAGATATCTGATCAAAAAGAAAGCCCTATTTCATCTTCTACAAACTGCAAACAAAGGAACTGAAAATAATTAGAAGCCATAATCATGCGTGATGTGTAAGCAATTTTTTACTATTCAAGTTTACTAAGCATACAAGTTAACATGACTTGGCAGGTCACATAGCTCTATTTGATATCAAATTATGCATTAATTGAATAAGGCACCCGTTAAATATTTTTTCAAACTATATTAATGAAACATAATCTTTATCTTTTTTAAGTTAAAAAAATTGGAATCAATAAAATAAGTGTGCTTCAATGTATGGAATCTCTATGTACACCCCTTATACCCAGGTCACCATCCCTTTCCATTTGTAATGATGATTTTCCATCCATCATGATATTTAATTAATGATTTTATTTATTTAAAAAATTTGTTTTAAGAAAATTCATATTTTGAAATTTCTAGGTTAATTGATTTCAGGATATGTAAAGACATACTAGTCAGTAAAAGTCTTTTATTCTCACGTTTTCCTTGAAGTTGTCTGTGTAATTTGTATGCTACAAGTTTATTGAATACATTTTATATGTCTAGTTTATTGCATGCAGGGGAACAGTTTTCATTACACTAATTTCATCTCTTACAATGAAACATACATGTCATAATTGGTCCTTCAAGCAAGTAATGGGATATACTAATATTCTCAGATTTCCTGTTATTAGAGGAAGGTAAGTCTTTCCATCCTTGAAATTAGTGATTGTTTGACAAGTGACATTTATGGAACATGGATAAATGGGTTACTGGGAAGAACAAGTCTTGTTGGAATTACAGCATATACATTTATATTTGAGCCTTAGGCAGTGTATCTCATTACTTCCACAGTTCTCCTGCAAATTGAAAGAAGAGTTGAAAGGATTCCACTGTAGCCGTAGTGCATTTTACATTAGATGTTCGCGTGTTAGCAATGATCATACCTAAAATTCTTTTGTTTAGCTCAATACATGTTTTACACTATTTTTCAGAAGATGGAATAAAAGCACAGGTGGTAGTGAAGTAAGCCTTAGCAGCTTTTATAGTCAAGACAATGTTTTTTATGGAAGATGATGATGACGAAGAGGATGGAGGAGAGTTTGATATTCGAGAAGTTGAAAAGACGATTGGAGCTCTCAGACAGTGCTACTCCATCTTCAACCCTGGGACCCATGTGTGTAAAAGGAACAGAGACCATGCTATGAGCTTTGCCCACTGTGGGAGTGGTGTTGTCATTGGAGAGAAATATGCAGAAATGCACAGGCTTATGGAGAGAAGGGCACGACTGGAGTTCATGCGCGATTATACCAATCGCATAAATGCAGTGAGGTTGTTTATTGCCCACCTCGAAGATCTTTGTCAAGAAGAGTATCAGACATGGTATGCTGTCAAACATGAACTTGACACAGGAGAGATCACAACAAATCTGGAAACTCTAAGCCACATCTGCGAAGAACTCCGCATGCACCATGTGAATCACTGGAACTCTGTTAAGCAGCATTTACACACCAGTAAGTGGCTGAGGCCCCAGCTCCCTGAGTTGTGTATGGAGATGGACCACATGCGACTGATGTTGATGCAGTACAGAGACGTGGCCCTGTGGTGGGTGGAGCAGATCATCAGGATAGGACTGGAGGTGTTTGCCCACATGGACGTGGACAACATCACTCAGACAATGTTGTGGAATGTTGCAAGGGGAATTGAAGACTTCAACTCTATTTTACAGACAGTGAGACACATCAACTCTCATGACATTCACCCACATAGAACTTTAAATGTTGACGGAAAAGCTGCCCTGCACTCAGCACTTTTTAATTGTGTCTCTAACAACTCCACAGCTCATGTGGCAAGCAGTGTCAAACCCATTCCCTTTTCCAAAGTGCTACACACTTTAGCTTTAGAACGTTCCATGGTGGCAGCCAAGGCCTTACATTCATACTTCACTATGAACCAAGAATTCCTTTCTCTCCAACAAGCCAATAGGTTCAGTGAATTTACCTGGGAATCGGTTGTTAATGGGGACAATGGAAAAAGTATATCCTTTGATACAAGAACTTCAGATTACCACAGTTCATCCAGTCAAGGGAGCTGTTCAGGGTTGAATGTCAAAATAGGGAACCTGATAGTGCCTGACCTCACTGGGCTGCCGAACCCCCTGGGGGAGTTTGGTAGACAAGAGAGGGAGTTTGCCAGTAGTTTCCTAGGCGTTGTCTGCCAATCTACTACACTGCTACGTAAGCATGTGGTGAAAGGCGGGGCACATTGGGGTAAAAAGTTCAGCCCAAGGACACAGAGACATTCATCTGCATTTAGGTTTGACATTGAGCCAAATTCAAAACCCCCTCTGCTCTCAGAATTGAAAGTAAAAACAGCTGAGAAGAATGAAGAGAACTCCCAAAAACTAGATGCCCATTTTTCTAGACATGACCCCAAGCGTAAGTCAGTCACTTGGGGTGACAATGCAGACTCAACTGTCAAACTCCAGTTGACTTCTAGGTACATAGACCTGGTGTGGAATGGCATTGGAAATAACTTGTGCTTGGTGTTTGAACAGCATGTTTGGAACAGAGGTGATGGGGTAGCACAGGGTTTGGGGCATGTGGGTTTGTGTCCAGACTCTTTACTCATGGTGATTGTATACATGATTCAGCAGGGAGTAGCAAAAGGTAGGTTTACTGGCCTGCAAACGAGCAGTTCTCACTTTTATGCAAAAAATACAGCACATCATTTGATATTGATGTTTTTGACGCTTTATTCAGTGAGACTTTTATTTACTTATTTATTTTGTTTATTTTATTCATNTTTTGTAAGAATTTTAAGAATGCGCTCATAGTGCAATTAGAATACACTTGAATGCCATTCGATATTTTTCCACTTGGAATGCACTTCGAAAGTTTTGAGAATGAGCAAAACATTTTAACAGGACGCAAGAATGGACCCAAACATTTAGAATGCGCTTAGAATTTTCAGATACTTCAAATATCCAGGAACAAACAAGAAATTTTTATTCCGACTACATTCTAGCTCATTCCGCCTCTAGTGTGACTAGGTTATAAATGAAGACAATAAGGATATTGTCACCGTTCACTCAAAACTCCTTATTTACTGCCTTACATACATTCTTTTCGGTGATAAATAAATTTTCAGTGTTCAGTGATTACATTGATTAACATTTACACATGTCATCTTATGGGTGATGGTATAATTGCAGTTTGGGGGTAAAAACTGAAAAGTCGGTTTCTCAAATGTCTGTTTTACCTGAACACAACCGTGATCACTATTTCAAAGCCAATTTAATGACACCATTTAGTACCCCAAAACCCTGCCAGCGATTTTTTTAAAGCCTTAGTTCAGATTTGATCGTTGATAAAGCAAAATAATACCCTTGTTTTTAGAAGATCGGTCATTACGGACTCATGACTCCATAACAAAAGCATTTAAACCATAACGTTGGCATGGGATTGTAACTCATGCCTTTGTGGTCCAATGGCCATTCCTTGTGATAAAATCTTGTTCAGGGATGAAGTTAAGCCCCATATGCATTGCTAACTAATCTCAAAAAAGAAAGCTGTTAAATAGATGATTAAAGCTTTGAGTTGCTTATGCTTATACATTGCAACGAAAAAATATAAACGCCGTTATTTCATATTTTCAAGAGTTTTTTCATTGTTTCAAAGCAGCACAAAGACAGATACATTATTGAATAATTAGATGCAGGAAAAAACTTATTTTCGGTATCTGGATGGTAATAAAGAGTAACAATATCCTTAATGCTCTGCTACTGAGTGTTCTACTGTAAATATTCCCATATGTAACTAACATTATGCTATTCTATATGTCAAAACTTTTCAGTTTCATGTGATCCTTGAACAACACTGACCATATTTGTTGTATTATTGTTTTTCCTAATTTAAAAGCCACAGTTGCATATAAACATTTGTATTTATGTACACAGAAATGGTGATTTTGAGGTGATTTTTACCTCAAAATGACAAAAAATCCTCTTTTTAACCCAAAATGAAGTGACCCAACCAAAATGATGTATCTATTTATGCTCATTGATCATGAAATCATATGGTTAGACATATAAAAAGCCATGTTTGAACTGATATTTAAAGATTTACATGAGAAATATGTGATTTGAGGGAGCGTTTGGTGGCCATTTTGAAAAATCACCTGATACCAATATCAGATGTAATTTAAAATGAAAATACTTATTAGATTTGTATTCAGCAGCCAAAATGGCCATAGAATCCTCTTGTCTGAAATTAAATTTCCCAAAAAAGCCTTTATTTGCCCACCCCTACTGACATTACAAATTTGGTGAACCGTGCTTCATCCAATGAAATCAAACCTGTATTTTTATGACTTCTTCATAAGAAACACTTCTGAAAGAGTATCATGGTACTCTGTGCATGCCACATTAAATGTGACTGATAGGATAAAACCAGAATCCATACATAAGTAATCAATACGGATCTGTTTTCATATATTCAAGAGGTTGTTTTGCATGTAATTTTGTCCATTGTACTTACTGTTTATTAGTAGCAGGAAATATTTCAACGTCTCATCTTAATTATCTGTGGTGAAATAAGATATTTTAATGGTGTTAAATTAAATAATGCAAGTTGCTTACGTATATATGTAGTTACCACTTATATGGCAGCATGGATGCAATAAAATATCCAAAAACATGTTGTACTATTTCAGAATTCTTCCCCGCCCAGTTGGAGGAGCCCCTACAGTCAGTTTCCAGAAGGTTGGTGGCATCAGCAGCATGGGCCAAGTGGGAAGAAGGTTGGTTCATGGTGGCCTAAGCCTATTGAAATGAGTGGTTTTAAAATGAGTCATGTTTTCTTTCTGTTGATAAGAAACCATAGTAACAATACGCTTTTCAGGACTTCTGTGATAGATATTTTAAGACTTAGAAAAAATGATGATGGAGAGCATGCCAAATACCATTTATAGTGAGTTACATATGAGTTAATTCATAGTCACTAAATAAAAGACTTTCCCTTTTTGGATTCATTACTGAAAGTAACCTTTTTCCTTGATGTCTTCTCCCCAAAATTAAACAGTATAATATTTTTATTTCTTACAGCTATATGTGGTGCCCTAGCCTCCTCCACTGTAGACAAGTGCAGCCCTACACCTTTAGCTGCAGGGGCCTACAGCACTGTGACTGCCAAGCTACTGAGAGATACATTCAGGCCACTTCTTTTTCTTGTCACATCTGTAAATAGTATAAAGACACAGAGAGTCTCCTCAGAGGTGTTAAAACAGTCAGCAGAGGTTAGAAAAGAGAGTTTGGAGATACTAGTGCCTGCCATGGCTCGTGTGTTGGCTACATGTAGCGTGTCTCTCAAATGGTGCCATGTCAAGACATTTCAGTTTCTGTCAGGTTGGGCTGTCAGCCCTTTTCTCCTAGTCACACAGAGTGACATCAAGGTAAAACTTACTGGTTAGAATTTGCATTCATAGAACATGCTATTACATGATAGATATCATGAATATAATAGTGGGGGTAAAAACTAAGCCCCCATAAGTAAAAACAAAAAAGGCAGTTAAAATCGTACTATTTGTTTCAGTTTGACTGTTTTTTATTCTGCTTGGTCATTTGCAGTATAACAGTTATAACCTATATTGTTTGTAATGTATATGTAATCACCATGTGTTGTAGGTGCTAGCTGATGAGAGTAAAAAAGCTCTCACCCTTGTAAAGCCTTTCATCCCAGAGCCTCCCAAGTCATCATCTAACCAGGTGGAACATCAACTGGTCCTGCAGCTGACAGCACTAAGTTTACAAGTGGGAGAGCAGTGTGGCCAGTTGCAGGTATGGGGTTTGAAGCTTTTGGTAATGCTAAAGCCAGTGCATTGCGCTGCTATTACAGAGGAAGATATTAAGAAAATGATGGAAATAAGTTTAAAATCTTATTTACAATTCACTATCAGTTATGTGTTCCATTATTGATGTCAATTAATCTCAGTGCTGCTCAGTGATAACGCTCCCCTCAATTTGTTTACTGTGGTTTTAATATAAGAAGAATGTTTATATTGTTAACATTCATGTACAGTCACCGTGATATCCTTGGCACAGAAAATGGGAGATATTAAACATTACCAGTCACTGATGCAGTAACCAAGGAAGAAGCTAACTTTAAAATTTTCCTACATTGCTAGATGTTATCTGGAAGTGCTGTCAAGCAGTTTGCTAGCAGCCTCAAAGCCATGGCCAGTGACTTCTTTCAAGGTGCTATGCCACTAGGCAAGGTTTGGAGGAAGAAAAGCAATCAAGGTATTATGAAAACTTTATTGATTTTTTTCTGTTGCACCTTTACTTGTTAATTGCACATGCTCTCTAATCCCATATTATTAGCACCTGTATGAATTTCAACATATTGTCATGCAATATTAGTCTTGTGAGTTTGGTCTGGCTTAATTGTCTAAAAACCTTGAAAATATATCATGTCTTTAATATAAAAAATGATAATGGAGGATATTTGCATTTGATTGCAATTTGAGAATATCATATATAATCATTTGTAAACTTAAATTTTAGAGTTTCCCACAGATCCCAATGAGTATGTAAAGCAAGCACTGGATACTTTAGTTGTGCCCATCTTAATGGGTGTGGTCAACTTGAAGACCACAGCTCAGCTTGGGACACTTTCAGTTACTGTAGTCTCTGTTTGTGAGACCTGGACTGAACTAATACTGAAAGAAAAGATCAAGTTTAGGTAAGAGAAGTAAATATTGGCTTATATATATATATATATATATATATATATATATATATATATATATATATATATATATATATATATATATATCCAAATCCTCCTGAAACATTCCAAAATTATTATGACTTGATTGAAAAATATCACATAGCAACAACAGATGTTTAACTTTCTGTCACCAGCAATGTTGTTTTGTCCTATATTTGGCTTGGTATTATTGAAGAGATTTCAATAATTTGCAATTTTGAAAGAATGTGTAATTCATCTATTTTTGTTGATTTTAGCCTTTATGGTGCACATCAGTTGTACCTGGACTTCCTGCATGTGCGAACATGGCTCAGTGAGAGTATTCAGAACGATGAAGTGAAACAGAGCATATTATCTCTGGACATATTCAAGTATTTGTTTGGAGCTGTCTCTCTCCTCAAGAAACAGCCAAAAAAGAAAGGGGTGGCTACCACTGTAAACAGAGAGGAGATGAGTAAGTCTTTTCCTAGAAAATTTTGTGTGGATTAGACTTTTTTAGTATGATGCGTTACTATCAGAACTCCCTACTGAGTTTTGAATGCTGTTAGAGGTGTTGCAGTTTTTCATGAAATTGTAACTGAAACACTGAGATAGAAGTCATCTTTTTATTTATTTATTTATTAACCAGATATTGAAGATTAATTTTAAGAAATTTATTTAACTCTAATTTCTAAATTAAACTAGAAAAGCACTCCGAGATCGCAGACCTCCGCCAAGGCAGCAATTTTTTATTATTATTGATTATTGATTGATTATTGATCCGGATCACCACCAAAAACTAATCACTTCTAAGTTAACCCATTTCCCACCAAAATCGGTCCATGCTTTTTGAGTTATGTTGATGACAAACAGACAGACAGGGGTGAAAACATAACCTCCTTGGCGGAGGTAATTATCTACCTTTTGAACATTCCATATTATATGTTTACCAAATTCGGCTGCCTTGTTACTTGCAGGTACAGAAGTCAGCATCACCAGCACCACATCCCAGAGGAACAATTCCCTGTTAAGCTTTGGGGAAGGATCTGGTCACACCAGTGAATGCAACAGTGACCACGATGATGTCTCAGTACCAGATCTAGACAATGACAACTACAAAATGCCCAATTCTGTAGACTGGCTGGCTCTTAGAGTCCATGGAGGAGCTAGGAGTTGGAAATTGCCTTCTTGTTTTAACAGAGAAGTGAATGACTGAGCATGTTCATTTATGGTTGGACTAAACTTTTTTAACATTTTGTAGTTCTGTCGTCTGCTGTGATATCAGTTTTGTGACACTTTTCATTAATAGAAGTCAGAACTTACTTGATATGCCATATTAAATCTAGTCCAGATTAAGTTTTTTAGCTTGTCCCTAAGTCAGATTTTTGTGCAATATCTGACAAATTACTGGTCTTGAATTGGACTGGAGACCTTGGTACTATATATATTTTACATGATATTTAATTATATGGATGCTGTTTTTATCAACATGGTCACTTATTATTTGAATTGGAATGTGCACACTGGAAAGGGGCAAAGATGAAGGTGAAGTAAAATAATATTGTCACAATTTTTTTACACAATTTGTATAGGTATGTCTGGTTATATGCACTGTGGACTCAAAAGAAATAGTATGTGTGTTAGTATAGTATGTGTGAAATAGTCAGAA